CCGGGGGAAGGGGCAGGGACCGAGGCGGTACCGGAGACCCTCCCTCTGCCCGGAGGGAACTCTGCTCGCGGGGAGAAGGCAAGGGCCCAGGACCCCGCGCTGCGCTCAGCTCGGACGTGGGCTAACGGGCAGGGCAGCACGGAAAAACCTCCCAAAACCCCGCCTTCTGTTAGAAGATAAGCGTGTTCCTCACGTTGCCCTTAGCGGTGGGAGGTCTGAAGAGTTTTTACACACCCCTGCTCACATGCTTGCCCGAAAGATGCTCCTTCCAGGGTGTCCAAGCACAAAGAAAACCCCAGACTCAGCTCATCCTCTACCAAAGTGAATCCAACTCGGTTACGCCAGTTCCCTGCCCTGGATTCACCGACCCCTGGGCAGGCAGCAGACACAAGGGTGTCCCCGACACCTCTGTCCGGCACCACCTGCGCTGTTCAGCTCACGCGTGACTCCTCGACAGAATCGGGTCACCTGGATCAATTCTGCCCCACCCGCTAATGTCCCAGAGCTGCCCAGACACTGGCACTAAGCAGCACTGACCCTTCCTGCTGACAGCACGGGTTTCTGCCAGCTCACCACACACCTACTGGCATTTACACCACATCCAAGTGCCAGTGCAAGGCAGGATGCCTCTTGCAGGAGACGGGAGCTTGAACCCAGAGCTCAGCTGGCAAAAATCTGCAGCTGGCAAAACCATTAGAAAAAGCAGCACTGTCCCCTGGACAAGTGTGTGGCACCCGTGTCCCTGCAGGCCAAACGCTCCTGCCCAGGGTGCAGCAGGACAGGGACCTCGTGGCGGGCAGGAGCCAGACGCCCCAGAGCCAGGGTCGGCTCCGGCCGGTCCTGCCCCCACGGTGAGGTAAGTACCGGCTGCGTGGACAATTGCCCAGTCAAACTTAACAGGGCCAAGGTGAAAGTCTTCTAGACGCGCTGGTGAGACATTCTCCAAGCAGCTCTTCCCCAGCAAGCTGCTGCAGCAGCGGATTAACGACGACTTTGGCTGGGAGCTCCAGTCACCTCTGAGAAGCTGCTCGGGCAGGGCACAATCCACAGCCCTTCCTGGGGGGCTGTGCAGAGGTATCTGCTACTGATTCCTAAGGATTAAACCCAGCCTCCTCTTAGACTGTACTTACAGAATCTTCTTTACCTAAAGGGATTCATTAGGAAGACTATAAACCACACATGCAAAGCCACTCACGCTACAAGATGCAGTGTCACCCCTGCCTGGCAGAGGAAGGGGAGTGTCAGAGGAGCAGCAGCTGTTCCTCACAGACCACCATGCAGGGAAACCCTACCCTGAAGAGCACGAGGCACCATCTGCCCACAACCAGACAAGCACCGAGCTGAGGAAGCGCAGGATACCCTGGCTTCTCCAACTGCAAGGGGCACCAAGAACTGCCTGTCCCCCCTTGCCCCAGCAGCTCTTCCAGAAGGGATTTTGACAGTTTCTACCCTCAGAGTCCCAATCAGAAACTGTACCAGAACCCCTCACTGTGGAGGGAGGGTCTGCAGATCACGGAGAGCAGAAAGCTGCTTTCTTCTTGGCCCATGATTACAGTCATTCTGTTTTAGTGAAACTGGCCACCATTGGTCTTAGATAAGGCATCCCAGCAGCTACAGACTGAAGCTTTCCACAAAATGCCCTTTGCATCTGTTCTATTGATCCAAGTCTCCCTCCACAGGGAGCTGGATGCTCTGCTGCAGAAATCAAATACAGAGTGCTGGCCGGGTAGGAAGCACACGAGTTAACACACAAAGCCTAGAAGGTGAGGCAGAACCAGGACTCCTGTTGCCATCCCGCAGCGAGAGGGTTCAAAGCTTTGCCAGCCTCATGCTCCATCTCTTTCTAAATGACATGAACCTACAAGCTTACAAAATCCCTCAGAGCTCTTCAACTGTGCTCAGGTGCTGATCCTGTAGACCATCCTGTACATAGGCCCTACCTGCTCTGGAGTGCACTGACCAAGGCAGCCTTGACCTTGAGGATTAACGGTGAGAGTGGTGCAGCCTCCCTGACGTCAGCTAGTCCAAAGCAGCAGGCTGGGAAAGCAGCAAGGCCTCTCACCTGTCCCACTGGCATTGATTTACGTGCAGGACTTCAAGTGAAATAGCAGCACTGAAACCTTCTGTGCAGGTCCACTCTGGTGCTGGCTTTACGCCAGGCCTGTGCATGTAGCAGAATTGCAGAGGGAAATACAAGTTCTACATGGACAGTATAAAGCCCCCACAGCTCTGGCACACACCCCGAGTGTGAGCCAGTGGCTCTGGTTGAGGTTTGTGACAAACCTGCAAACACTGTCAGACATAGCCAAAGCTCTGATGGCAACTGCACCATTCACAATCTGACCAGAGAAAACTCAGCTGCCCGTGACTCATGGAGGCATTCACTCACTGGCCCAGGGCAAGCAACACAATCATCAGCACAGGGTCCAGGGAACAATTCTAAATCCAGGCCTACTCTGCAAGCAAGTCTCAAACACCTTATGGCAAGGGTGGGTATTTTACAAGGATAGCACCATTATTGCCAAACACCAAGAAAAAGCAGTATACTCTGCTCTGGCCATAATTAGAAGAGGCTGTATGAACACACAGGCCGCACAAAGTCCCTGCAGCCTGCCGCTCCAAAGGCAGAGCTTCCCGGGAAGGACAGGCTTGCTGTTTGGCCCATATAACAGTGCTTCAAGGAAGGAACAAGAGGCAAGTAGGAACTGTGAATTCCTAAGCTCCTCGCCATATCCCAGTTGATACTGTCAAAAAGACAAAGGAACAAACTTGGTAAACTCTTCACCCTCCCTTCCCACTGCAGGTAACGAGCTGGTGCCAAGCACCCCACCAAGGACCCTATGGCTCTCCCCTGCTCGCCCAGGACATTCCCTTTGCTCTGAGCTGCAGCCTCCATCCTTAATGTGATCCTAATCCTTCCTGCTCCTTCTGCAAGAACCAGGATTTGCTCTGCCAGCAAGTATCTTTATGTGTGGTGGGGTTTTTTGCTCAGTGGATCATATGGCAAAGATGGTGCAGAAGGATCCCCCCCCTCCCAGTTCACCTCAGAGCAACTGGCCACTTGCACAACATCCAGCATTCAGACCCCATGAGGAGACCAAAGCTGATGGGGGAAGGTGTTTACAAAGCTGGATGCCACACCATTCGGTCGCTTTTCACCCAGTAGCCTAATTTAAAGAACAATGCAAAACTGGAACAGCTGCAGGATTAAAAAGAGCACCCTGCTATTTTCAAAGGCTGTGTTGGCCTTTGAGAGCAGACACACTCTGTCCACATCTGCTGTCAAAGCAGCCCAGGGTCTGCAGAGGCAGCAGCTACACTTGTCCCTCCCTTGGTACTCCAAGGGGCTGTGGCAGGGCTGCTGCAACACCTCGCTGGAGGGAGTGCTGTGCCACAGCCTGCCTTCACTTGGGAGCACAGCAAAAGGAGCCTGGCTGTATTCCAGGCACGGGGGGGGGGGGTAACGAGCGCCTCTGCATCAGTAGAGGGAAAGGTCCTGCCAGTTTATTCGCTTGCTTTTCCCCACAGGTAGCCCTGCTGCTGCCCTGCCCAGCCATGCCACCTCCAGAGGGGAGCTCCACCGCACCGCCCCGGCCCTGCCCAGCACTTACCGCTCGCCCCTCAGATAAGCTGCACCGCTCCAGAGGCCACCAGCGGGGCGATGGTCTTGTAGCGGATCAGGTGCTGCGAGCCCTCCTCCAGGTCGATGGTGTACTCTCTGCCAGGGACAGAGCCAAGTTCAGCTGCCCCTCCCGTTTCGCTGTGAGCCACAAAGCTTTTGTGAAACTACATTATTTATGTGTGCTGCATGGGGAAGCACCTGCCTACCTCTGCTCATCCGTCTCTGGCTCGACCAGGATGTTCTCCTGCCGCTCCAACACCCTCAAGAACACAAAGGAGTCCAGGTTGGGCCTCGGAACTGCAGAGAACAGATTCAGAGCACAACCTCAGCACTCGCCTCTGCTCCTCTGCAGGACAGCAAGCGAACAGAGAGTATGAGGGACAGCAAAACCATGGCCAGTAAAGGGAGTGCCAGACACTTCTAATCAGACGCAGTGTGGGCTGCCTCAACACAAGTCAAGATTCGATGGCAGGGGTCAGCACAGCCCTCTGATAGCAGCACCAAGCCACCTACCACAGCAAGGAAGCATTGTGGCACTGCCATCGTGTCACCTTTGCTTCTGCTGAGCGCCTGCTGGAGGACTAGCCCTTAACATTTCATGCTTCCCAGAGCCTTCCCCACACCCCTGCAGCTATAAGTTTCAGGTCACTCTGGAGTCTGGATGTACTCACCTGATTTTAGGAGAGACACTTTCTGCAGGTTGGGCGGCATGTGTTTTAGGGCCACGTTTTTCAGATAAATCTCTGTGTTTGCCATGTACCTGGAACAAATCATTAAGCATTTACTGGTTTAATCACATACATATTTGCAGGGAGAGTACTGACTCAAACACCAGCAAGTGGCATCTCCTGGTCCCACAGGCATGGCCAGAGACAAACCTAACAGCTCAGAGTTACCAGTGTTATTTTATTTCAGGTCTTTCCTTGTCCACAAAGAAACTTCCTGGTCAGACCCGTGATTCTTACTGCAAACTTGTCTAAGGGTAACAGTCTCGAGAACTGTTCAGCATAACATACAGGCGAGTTCTATAACCTATAAGAAGGGAGGGAGATGCATCCAAAACATACTCACTCTTTAGCAAAAGCAAACTCCTCTGGCGATAGAATGGAAGGCTCCCCTTCGGCTCGAGATTTCTCCTTCTCCAGGACATGGGGGAAAAACTTCTCTATCTGACATTGGAACAAAATCCCAGAGACTGAAGCAGACCTCTCCCAGTTCAGTGCCCACAGTCCCGCTTCCCCTGCAAGCAGCAGTCTGCTGCTGTGAAGGTGCACACAGCAGCCACAGGCCTGCCTGAACACCTGCTCCTGGAGTGACAGCAGGATGGTCAGCTAGGGTCCACAGGCTGCACGACCAGATGCCTACATGGCAGGACCCAGGCAGAACATATGAGTGTTCAGTTGTGCCACCCTGGGGTTTGATGAGGTACGAAAGCACTCACAGCAATGCTGTGATCCCCATACGCAAAGAATTAATTTCTTTGGGTTGCATTTCGGAGGACACAGAGACAGAGTGCTCTTTAAGTACCTTGCTGAAGCAGGAAGCCTTACAGGGGTAAAAATCACTCCTGAAGTCACCCTTTTTCATCCTCTAGGCAGCACAGCAAGTATTACCTTCACAAGCCTACATCGCAGGTAGCTGCTGAGCACGTAACGGATCCTTTCTATCTCCATGCGGTGAATGCTGACCTTCAAGTCCCCTCGCTTTGCCCGTTTCAGGTTTGCCTCCTGCAAGGAAAAGCAAGGAGAAATTAAATGGTTGAGATGTCAAACAAGAGCCAGAGAGGAAAATGGATTTTGTACACAGGTTCCACAATAACTGGCTACAGCTGCTTTTAGTGACACAAAGCATGCTATTTCCTTGTATCTCCCAGCCCCTGCTTCAGGACATGCTCAGAGCAGCCTTATCTCGGGGACAGAGGGCCCGAAGCAGGTACGTGTCAGGCCAGACGATCAGGGCCTGCCCGTACCGCCACCCTAGGCCAGCAGCACCTACCATGTGGTCCAGCTGCTCCACAACACACTCAATGATCTCGGGTTTGCTCTCCAGCAGCTCTGGAGCAAACTTCTCATTCAGCCAAGCCTGGAAGAACGCACGCTGTAAGTGGGAGCGAGGAACGCGCCTCACAGAGAGGCCAAACTCCTCCCTGCCCCCTCCTCCGCCCCGCATCCCCGCCGACCTCCCCGGGGGCCCGGCCCGCAGCCCGCTCCCCAGCAC